GGGGTCTTCCCCGCCCATGTGGCCCCGCTTCGCATTCGCGTCGATGAGGGGCACTTCGGGCTTCTACCGTTCGCGCTGCTTCCTGGCCCCCTCCCACCATCTGCTGAGGCCCTTCGCCTTTTGGTACGGCGCGCGAACTATTGCTATCGCGCGCTGGAAGAGAGGCGCCAGGACCCCTCCGAATACCATCCTGGCGGTGGAGCGCAAACTCGCGAGCTGCGACTGTTTGCAGTACCCTTGAGCTACCCTTAAGGGATCTCGGCGTTCAGAGGAAGCGCGCAGCCCCAGATGCCGTCCGCGGCGTTGCTTTGCGCGTTGATAAAATCTCGGCCCGTCCAGATAGCTCCCTTGCTCCGCGCCCCCTGCCGGCCGGCGATGTGGATCTGGCGCTCAGCGAGTCGCGCTCGCTCCGCCGCGCCCTTAGTGGAGGTGTCCAACTGAATTTCATATCCGCCTGAGGCGATGTCGCTGACCATTGGCTGCGCGCTGCGCTGGGCGACGTTGACCTTCAATGGGCCTTTGTTGTAGCTGTTTGCCGCCTGGTCGGGGATGCGGCCCGCGGTCGCAACTTGGGGCCCGACGGTCTCCTCAAAGTGTCCTTGTCTTCTGCGCGGGTGGGCGCGTAGGTCTCGGCAAGTAGGGTTGTTCCATCCGCGCCCGGGACAGAGCCGAAGCGCGACGGCGCCCTGCCCACCTGCCAGCGCCCCGATAGCTCGGCCATGGGCGCGCATAATGAGGCCCGCATGGCCACGCTTAAGTACTTCGCCAGCATCGAGCGCGCAGACACCTTGGACAAGCGCGACCTCGCGGGCAAGTGCAACAGCGGCCAGCTAGACATAAGACCACCAGACGAAGTTACCCAGAGTCTCATCATGCCGCTCAATTCGTTGGTCGACGTTGGTCGAGGGCTTCGCAGACAGGAAGAACGGCAGGGCTGGCGGGCCCGGCTGCAACCTGGGCGACATCCACAAGTCAGCACCAGAGGAGACGGCTCGGCACTGGCGCGCAGTCATCATGAAGACGGTCATTTGGTGCACGGGGCCGATCCAGTTCAAGGCGGGCATCGCGGTGAAGCTGCGCGAGGGCAGCGGCGCCAGAGCACTGCTGACGCTCCAAGCACTATCACAGGTGGCTCAGAGCAACCGCCCTGCAGGTCTGCTGCGGCCTGCTTCGCGTCGCGCAGCGCGGCGGCATCCCGGAGAAGTCAGGCGCGTACTCCACGCGCGCCATTATGTCCTTCATCAGAATCTGCAAGCGCGAGGGCCTCACCGCAGCCGCCGTTGTGTTGGGCTTGCGCGGGGCTCTCTACTCCGCCATCCGCGAGTTCGCGCTTGGGAAGGGCAGGGGGCAGCCAGCTCTCAGCCGAGTCTTCGCTGGATGCGAACCGCCCGAGTCGCTCATGCCAGCCATTCACCACCTGGTCAACGCGCCTGGCCACCTGTCCCTCCGCGACGTCGCCGAGAAGCTGCGCTGCCAGCTGCAAGAGGCCCACGACGCGACCTTCCTCCAAGTGAAGGGCGACGACCATTGCGCGCAGAGCCTGCGGGGGTCCAGACCAAGGAACGGGCTAACCGACCTGATCTTCAAGTACAAGCGGATGGACACGCCGTGGACCTGCGGCCGCTCGAACACGAATCCGCCCTGACCAAGGAGTCGCTCAAAGAAACTGAAGGCTCGCTGCGGGAGACATTTCTTATGCTCTGCGCGCTGCGCGGCGCTGCGCACGTCGAGGGCAGCATCTTCGACGTCCTGTCCGTCATCAAGAGGCGGCTGGAGATATTGGGCCACGCACATCGCCCGGAGAAGACGACGGCGCTGCCCTGGATCGAGGGGCATGCCAAACAGCGCACCAGAGCAAGGATCTTCAGGACCCATGCCATCGCGCCAAAGCGGGAACATAATGAGGGCCTGACCAGCACCGACGCCGCTGTCGAAGTCACAGGGCAAAGAGTCACCATGGGAAACATGGTGACCGCCGACGGCAGCGAAGTCCCAAACAGGATGCGACGGATCATCGATCATCGCTCAGCCGAAGGTCCTGTGAAGAAGTGTGCTTTCCAACTGCACCTGGTGGGCGCCGATGCCAGTGCCCAATGCTTTGCGGCGCAGGCTTGCGTAGAGCTCATCTGCGACAGCGAAGTTTCGTGGGCGCGCACAGTGCAACAGCGCCAACAACTGCAGAGTCGGCACATGGCATGCCTACGGGCAGCAGCAGGACGAGAACAACACGCCCACTCCGACAACCACGTTGCCGATAACGACATGCACCTCAAGTGCGACGATGTCCCGACGCACGCGGACGGCCGGATCCGCGCAGACTGACAGACGAACTGCGGGGCGATCCAAAAGCCTGGAACACCCATGTAGAGGTGGACGTCGACTGGCCCAGGCGCTTCCTTCGGAGGGGCGAGGCGATCGGGGCCGACGCGTGCGGATTCGCGCAGTGGGCGCGAAGTCAACCAGAACGCGCAGCGCAAGCACTGATGTCACGAGCGTGGCTCAGATACCGACAGTGGAATCACGACGTGTACCGACGCCGAGTTTGACCGCGGCAACTCCACCAGCTGGCCCGCGAGTTCTGCCTCGCCGAGCCCAACTTTGAAAGCTGAACTCCGGAAGCCCACCAGGGCTATGTCTGCCACGATTGCGACATGCTCCTGAAGACCAAGGGCGCGTGGAAGCGGCATATCGCCATGGGGCGCGCGGGCTATGACCTGGCTGAGCGTCGGGCCATATCTACCACATGCACTGGGCGCGGCAAAGACTTCAAAATATACCGCGTCAGTCCTCCAAACATGGGAGCTGCCGGCCGACGAGAGGAGGAACAACTTCAGGCGGCCGCAAGAAAGGCACAAGGACACGGAGCGACCATGGCACTCGCACCAGTCCGACAAGTGATCTGCCCGAAGCTTGCCGACCCCATCGACCCAGACCAGTTGCCTCCGCCGCCGTCCCCGCCAGCTGCCGTCAGCATCGAACCAGCAACGCCAGCACAAACGACGTTCACGCGATGCAGACCTGGTCACGACGGCCTTATTGCTGCAACTTTGCCCAGGCAGAAGGCGAGTGGGGGACATCCAGCACCACTTCGATATGCGCGCCGCCTGCTGCATCTTGGTGGCGCTCTCCATCGACGAGCAGATCGACCCCGACAAAGGCGACCTTGCCAATCATGGCACGCTGGCATTCTGGTCTAACGCGATTCGGCCGGGCAAGATCTCTGGCATAGTCACGGGGCCACCATGTTAAACGTGGCGTTCTTCAAGGTGGCGTGTACTCAAGAAAACGGCCACGCGACCCTTGGAAGCCCGCCAATCCCCGCGGGGTGTTCATGCAGCCAGCCAGACGGAACTGCAACGTGAGCGACGACCTCTACAGGACGGCCATCCTGCTCATCACTTCGGGCCTGCAATGCGAAGCATCAGCCATGCTCGAACACCCAGCGCCCGCCACCTGGCGCCCGCAAGCCCCGAGCAGCTGATGCAGGGCGGAGACCACGTTGCTGCTGGAGCAACGAGACGTAGAACTCCACTACACCGACCAGTGCCAGTCCGGGCAGACAGCGCAGAAATCTACGTGCCTATTTGCGGCGCGCCTCCACGAGCTACGGCAAGCTACGCGCAGTTCCTGGCGGGCAAACCTGTAGGCGCCATGGACATGACCGAGCCCACGGGCGCGACGGCCCTGATGGATGGAAGACTGCCCGACCCAAAGAGTACCCATCGAGATTGCACAAGGCCATGGCAGCGGCCTTCGCCACGAGATGGGGGCAGCTGGCAGACGACAGCGCGCTTCGGGCTACAACCGACGAGGAGTACCACAGCTTCTTACGCATCACTGGACCACTATGCATAATCCGAGGCGCTCGGCCACGACTGCCACAAGGAATGGGGCGCCCGACGGCGCTAGCAAGCCCATGGTCATCAAGTCCAGCACGACCTCCACCGACAGCACCGCCCAAACGACCGATCTCAACATTACCACTAAGACCAGCACGACCAGCAATTGCCCACTCACCACCACTAGGCCACCCAAGCATCCGACCTCACCTTGCACCAGTCAATGCCTACAACCTCCTCCCACACCATACCCCTACCGCTGCGGTCTTGACGGCGCGCTCCCTGCACCTATCCACACGAGCCCCTGTTCAGTCAGGCCGTGAAGGCTGGAGCGGAAAACCTGAATTCGAAGCATACCCCTGCCCTTCTCGACGCCACACACGTCACCCGCTGATTGCCGCCCTCACACCACGCCCACCTCCCGACGCCCATTACGACGCCCAGTGAATTGCACCAACCAGCTTCCCCCGGCGTGAGGACGTAAAGTCCTGAGGTAACCTCGAATGCGTGGGAACACCTCATGCACGAGTCGCCACGTGGAGCTGGAGGCACTGTGACGCAAAATCCAAAGGAAACCCCGAATGCGTGGGAACACCTCAGGCATGAGTCGCCGCGTGGAGCTGGATACACGAGGACTTACGAGGAGACACGCGAGGACCCACCACATACATTGCAGAGTGCAAGCAGCAGAACATACGACGACGACCACCTCCAGGCACTCAACCAGCTGGGACGAGGTGGGACCGCCACTACTCCCACCCGAAGTCGGCGCATGGAGGCCACACCAGGTGCGACGGCCGGGCCGACGGCCGCGGGGTTCCCGCGGGCTGACGCCCTCGGGCGCAGGCGCGCGCGGCGCCCGACTTGGGGCCCCATCGGGCCCTCCTTGAAACCCGGCCTCTCCTGCCCCCCCCCTCCGAGGTAAGGACTGGTCCCTGGCTCCCCCTTCTCATCCTCGAGGTCGGGCACCCGGGGGCGTCGTTGGAATGCCCGCACGGCCCTTGCGGGCTGCTGCCGGGCGCTCCGCGCTCCGGGCGTCTGTGAGACTCTGCTCGGAGCGAGAAATGCAGTAAATGCCAGGAGAAGGGGGAGGAGGAAGAGGAGGAAGAGGAGGATGAGGATGCGAAGCAGGAGCAGGGGGAGCTCGCTGGCGGGCGACTCCGACTCTGCACCAGCATCGCGCTGTTGGCCGCCCGTACCAGTCGCAGGGTGAGGTAGCGAGATACGCGCTGATCGTAGAGGAACTGCGAGAGCTGCGATAGGGCCTGCGATGGGGGGGGGGCGGAAGAGTCCGGGGCGACAACGGGGAGGAGGAAAGGTTGAAGAAGAAGACGAATCAAGAGAAGGGCGCGAGAGATGGGGGAGGAGGAGAAGTAGGAGGAGGAGGAGATGGGGAGGAGGAGGAGGAGGAGGAGGAGGAGGAGGAAGAGGAGGAGGAGGAGGAGCAGGGCGTTGCCCCCCCCCCCCCCCGCCCTGAATGCCAACTCCGCGGAACAAGCAGCAACGATCTGAGGCCGACACAGGATGCGTGTTATTCCCCTCCTAGTCGTTCTCCCCCTTCTCATTTCTTCCCTCCTCCTCTTCCTCCTCCTCTTCCCGGCCATGTCGCACCCCTTCCTCAGAACTGTCTCTCCTCCATTCACTCTGCCTCCGCCTCCGCCTCCTCCTCCTCCGCCTCCTCCTCATCATCTTCCTTGCTCCGTCCCCTCTCCTGTCGCATTCCGTATTCCGCATCCTGGTCCGTCCGCTCCTGATCATTACTGGTACTATCCTTCACCGTACCGTTGTCAATGAGTGTAGTGTCCTCGTATTTCTGAATCATCTGTACCGAACATTCGAATCATGAAACTGTTTGCTGAAGGGCCCAGGACCCCGATCGCCAGATCTCTGGGAGTTTCTTGCGTGACTCGCGGAGCGCACCGCGCGACTGCTGGGGCGCCGCGCTTCGCATTTTCCGAAGCCAGAGACCCCAAGAGGGCCCCAGGAAGATCCAAGACGGCCCCGAGACGGACCAAGAGCGCCTCGAGACTACACTTTTGCTCCAAATCTGGAGCATGCGCAGGGCCCTCTTCTCTAAGCTCTCATCAATTTCACGACTCCTCTGACTGCCTATGCACCGTTTGGGCGCCTGGCTGCCTTGCCTGCTTGCTCAAAATGTCACCATTTGTCCATCGATGCCGGTGCTTTGCGCTCGCTGGAAGAGCCGCCATTCTCACAGAACGCTCGGCACTTCGCTTCATGGGGACTCAAGATCCTGAACTCCGTGGGCCCAGAACCCCAGGCACCTTGGGTCCGTAGCTAGCGCACCTGGCGCGGCTGGAGCACGTGGCACAGTTGGCGCACGTGGAGCATGTGCCGCAACTGGCACGCTTGGGCCTCCAGGGTGCCTGGTGCACCTGGAACCCGTGGCGCGCATGGCATGTGTGGCGTTCCTACGCGATCTGCTGACAATCAGGGTGTTACATATGTGATGGGAGGGCTTGGGAGGGCGGGTGGGCGTAAGCTAGACGGCCTGCAACCTAGGAGGGCACCTTGACCCCTTCAGGGGGCCGCGAGCGGTAAAGGCGCCCAAGATGGCCCAACATGGCTCCGAGAAGGCCCCCGATGCTCCAAGACGGCCTCCAAGACTTCTCCCGATAGCCAGAGCTGGTTCAATTTATAGCTTCCGGCATATCTCCAAAAAGCCCGACGAGGGCCACAAGACGGTTCCAAGTCCTCCTGGTACACTCTCAGGAACCCCCCAAGAGGCCAACATCCGTCAATAACCTAACGCAGATCAATGATGTTTGCCGCCTTCTCACCTTTTCGTTTCCGACGTGTCTTTGGGGCCTCAAGGCTGCCCCAAAATGGACCAGCGAGCCCAAAGAGGGGCCCAAGAGGCCCCCAGACGGCCCCAAGAGCGCCCAAGAGCGTCCCAAGATGGGCCCAAGAGGGGATTTCGAGGGCCTCAGAGGGGGGAGGCAAATCGAGGACCCCCCTCCTTTGATAATTACATGCCGTGCAAGACGGCCCCAAGAGGCTTTACAGGGCCTCCAAAACGGCCCCAGGAGGGCCCCAAGAGAGCCCCAAGAGGGCCCCAAGAGGGTCCCAAAACGGCCCCAAGAGCACCAAAGAGCGCCCCAAGAGCGCCCCACGAGGTCTCAAAGAGGCGGTGTGACTCCTCCTCCTCCTCCTCCTCCTCCTCCTCCTCCTCCTCCTCCTCCTCCTCCTCCGCCTCCGCCTATGCCTCGCCCCCCCGCGGGCCCCAGGGATTGCCCGAAGAGGCCCTCCGAAATCACCCCCTTGCTCCCGAAACCCTCTGTTCATTCTGGCTGCCCGCGCTGTTTCACTGTATGCCATCGTCGCTTTCCCCGTCAACTCTCATAGACAGAACTTCTGAACCGGCTGGTGGGGATTCCTTTGGTTGGTCAGCGGCCCCGAGACTACGGTCAGGGAGCGGAGGCGACGTCCGGGCCACGGGCGAGGCTAATTAGCAAGACAATTCGCCGCCAGCCAGAGTCGGCGGACAGACAGCTCGCACCTGCACACGCACTGAACCAAATGACCAGAATTCGAGGGGCAGACGCACGGAGGCGCGGAATCCCTAACCACAGTGGGCAGGCCGCCGTGCCCGGTGAAAATGAGAATGCCCCGAAGTGAGTCGCCGATGCGGCGCCAGACGTCCGCGGCCGACCTGCACAAGCCGAGCGGCTGAGCGGTCGAGACCAGAAAACAGTGCGCGACAGCTGGTAAGGGCCGAAGGCTGTACAGCCGTCGTAGGCTGAACCACTCAGCGCCCAGTCCTGTGATCCGCATCACAGTGTCGGGGGGGAGCCGAGCGACTGTGACCCAAAGCGCGACTACACGGTGCCGCCTCATGAAGAGAGGAACTCCGCTGGAGTGGGGAGCATCGCCGACGGATGAAGAGAAAGGGTGGGGGGGCGGCACGCGTGGTGGTGGTGTCGACTGCGCTGCCTCCCTGGGGGAGCCCGCTGCCGTGAAGCTGAGGCGGCCAGCCACACCCAGACCGTCGCATTGCGCTTCCCCTGGGCCCTAGCGCCAACACGCACCACGTGCCATCCTGGGCCGTGATAGCCGTCGCTGGGGGTGCTGAGCAGGACCACGAGCAGCACGGACCACGGCCGGAACAGGGAGGGGGGGGCCTCAGCACCGAGGCAAGTGCAGCGTCAGGCGAGCCCCGGGGCCACGGGCGGGGGACACCCACCGGGCCCGGGAGGGGAGAGGCGAGGGGACGCAACGCCTCACCCCACGGCCAGGCTCCCTGCCGCCGTGGGCCAAGGGCCGTGGTCCTCCTCTTGGCTCGTCCTGGGGGTCGCAGCTGATCGCCGCTAGGACTTGCATTGAATAACTGGGGGGTCGCAGCTGATCGCCGCTAGGATCTCTTTTACACATCGTGGGGGTCGCAGCTGATCGCCGCTGTGGTCTCCATTGAAGGTGTGCGAACGGGTGAAGGCCCACCGGGGCCGCAGCCAACGCAGAGGATGTGAGCCAGCAGAGAGGTGCGTCCCAGGAGGTGGGTCCTCGGGGTCGTAGCTGCTCGCCGCTGGAGCCGACGCTGCCCAAACTGTGGCCTGAAACACGAGCCGATACGCTGGCGCACAGGGGAGGTGCTTCCGCCGTCGTCCCCCCGTCACCGATGGATGGGTGGCAGTCGCCGTTGGACAGCAAAGTGGGTGTTCCCGGGACCTGTCAGTCCAGAGGGCTGGTCCCCTGTTGAGCAGGGGGGTGAAATGTCAGGGATGGGTCCACGTATCCAGTGTGGGCTGTCTAGCTATGCTGCGCCTTGGGTGAGATGTGGGATGGCCTCCGCCCCAGCGGATATTGCCCCAAGGTATTACGGCCAAAGCCGGGCGCTGCGAGGTGAAACAGGCCCCGAAGGGGGGTAGCAGGTGGTGGGGGGGACGGAGCACGTTGGCCAGGAGTGCCGGGGGTGCTGTGACGGGTTGGCCTGGCACTGTTAGCCCTGGGCGTAAGAGTCCTCCCTTGCCCACCATCGGGCGCGCTTGTCCGTGTACCGGTCATCCCCCCTGGGGGAGTACCGCTTACCCTTTCCTTTCCAGTCCGTGTCCGTCCATGGGGCTTTCTGCCGGCCCCAGGAGCTCCATTCCTGCCAGTCCTGCCACTGGCCGGGGGTGGTTGAGCCGATGGCGCCTGCCCATCGGTCATGTGCGGCTGCAGCGGTGGCTGTTCTGCCCTCTGCTGTCCATGGGGCGGGTCTGCTGTTGCTGTCGTAATCGCGTTGAGCGTGCGCACGGGAGTCGCGGTGCATGACCTTCATGCGCTTGTCCTTGACAGCTGCCCAGTTGACGTTGAGCCCTAGCTCGCTGTCCATCTTATAGGCGTTGTGCCCTGCGTCACTCCATGCCTCGAGGAATTCGTTGCACGACTGGACTGTGCTCAGTTTGGGGTTGTGCTTTTGGCTTCCGCTGAGCTCCTGCCTCAGGGCAGCCCTCTTCACCCATGCGGCCCATATTCCATTGAACGCTCCTCCCAGCGTCTTTTGCAGGCGTATTATCTTATCCTGCACTGGTTCCTTCCTCTCAACGTCTGCAGGCGGGGATACGCGAAGCGTGAAGACATCCTGAATGATTGTGAATATTCTCTGAAGTTCCCAATGGGGTCTCGGCCGATCGCGCCGACAACTGGGAGGGAGGGACAACCAACTTGCCTCCAAGACGGCCACGATGGCCCACATGGCCCCACGATAGCCCAATCTGGTCCCAAGATATCTCCAAGACGGGCCGAGATGCACCCAAGACGGCCCAAAGGCGGCCCAAAGATGGCCCAAGACTGCCCAAGAGGTCCCCAAGAGGATTTCAAGACGGCCGATGTTCTCCAGGAAGAACCGAAGATGCCAACATCATTGATTGTCCTTGGGTTGTTGCAGGACGTTGGCATTTGCTCCTTTCTGTTTTCCGACGGCCCAAAGCGGCCCCAGAGGCCACCAATGAGGCTTCAAGATCGCCCAAGAGGCCTCCAAAAGAGCCCCCTAATGGCCCCAACATGGCCCAAGAGACTTCCAAGATGCCCAAGATGGCCCCCCGAGACGGCCCTGAAGCGTCCGAAAAAGGCCCCAAGTCGGCCGAGACCCCCAGGACGGTTTCTGACGCCGCAGGCGGGCCAGGAACGCCCAAGACGAGCATAACTTGCACAACGCCTTCCCCCAGGAGGCCCAAGGACGCTTCCAAAAGGCCTCCAAGTGGCGCTCATGAGGTGCCCCAGAAGATCCCCAAAGGCCCCTTCCTCCTCCTCCTCCTCCTCCTCCTCCTCCTCCTCCTCCTCCTCCTCCATGTGCTTCTTCCTCCCCGAAATGTCCACTGACGGGTTCCCACAACGGCTGGGGGAGCACAGACTCCGAGAGCATGACCGAGCTCTGGCCACAACGCGTGGCCGCATAGGCGCTGCTAAAAAGCAGAATACGGCGGCGATTCGCCGTAGGCACCTTCGGTTACTTGGTATCCTCTGCATGGCTGTGCTAGTCCTTCCCGTCCTCCTTCGTCCCCCCCCCAGGAGCCAACACAAATGGCTGCACTTGCGCACTTCGCAGCCCCCCAGGGAGGCCACGAGGCCCCAACCAAGTCTGCGTACCACTCCAATCCGCTGGACCTCCCAGGAGCCACCGAAACTTGTGACATTTGCGCACTTCGCAGCCACGCAGGGAGCCGCGAGGTCCCAACTGGGTCCGCGTGCCACTCCACTCCGCGCGACCTCCCAGCAGCTCACAGAAATGCGCGAGATCCCAACTGGGTCCGCGTACCAATCCGCTCCGCTGGACCTCCCAAGATCCCACGGAACGACACTTGCGCAATTCTCAGCCACGCAAGGGGCCGCGAGGTCCCAACTGGGTCCAAGTACCGCTCCACCCCGCTGGACCTCCCCGAAGCCAACGAAAATGACGACTCTTGCGCACTTCGCAGCCCCTACTCAAGAAGCCGCCAAGTCCAAACGTGATCCCCATACAACTCCACTCCGCTGCACCTCCCAGGAGCCCACGCACATGGCGCCACTTGCGCACTTCGCAGCCCGCCAGGGGGCCGCTATGCCGCAACTGAATCGGGGTATCACTCGACCCCGCGCGACCCCCCCACCAGGAGCCCGCGGAAATTGCTACACTGGCGCATTTCGCAGCCACGCAAGGAGTCGCGAAATCGCAACTGGGTCCGCGTACCACTCCACTCCGCTGGACCTCCCAGGAGCCCACGAACATTGCGACAGCTGCGCAATTCGCAGCCTCCAAGGAGGCAGCGAGGTCCCAACTGGGTCTGCGTACCACTCCACTCCGCTGGACCTCCCAGGAGCCCACGAACATGGCGACACTTGTCACTGCACCGATCTTGCAGACGTGCTGCAGCGGATTGCGCGTGGATTTCTGTCAATGCGAAACACCGAAACGGCGAGCGAAGCGCGACGTGAACTGCAACCGGATGGTTTAGCTTCACTCCTGGCCAAAAAAATAACCCACACGAAATACACTTCGAAGTCTGAAACGACATTCTCAAGGACACCCCGGGCCCGTCGTATTGTTTTCTGAACGAAATCCGCTCTGCGAAGTTGGCGCCGTGACACTTGCGCACTTCGCAGCCCGCCAGGGGGCCGCGATGTCCCAACTGAATCGGCGTCTCACTCGACCCCGCGCGACCCCCCCAACCACCAACACAACGTGTGACATTTGCGCAATTCGCAGCCACGCAAGGAGTCGCGAAATCGCAACTGGGTCCGCGTACCACTCCACTCCGCTGGACCTCCCAGGAGCCCACGAACATGGCGACCATTGCGCAATCCACAGCCACGCAAGGAGCCGCAAGGTCCACACTGGGTCCACGTACCGCTCCGCTCCGCTGGACCTCCCAGGAGCTCACGAATTTGACGACACTTGCGCAATTCGCAGCGACGCAAACAGCCGCGAAGTCCCAACCAAATCCGCGTACCACTCCGCTCCGCTGGACCGCCCAGGAACCCACGAAGACGGCGACAATTGTGCAATTCTCTGCCACGCGAGGAGCCGCGAGGTCCAAGCGTACCGCTCCACTCCGCTGGACCTCCCAGGAGCTCGCGAAAGTGGCGACAGCGGCACCATTCGCAACCACGCAGGGAGTAGCAAGGTCCCAACTGGGTCCGCGTACCACTTCACTCCGCTGGACCTCCCAAGAGCTCACGGAAGTGGCGACCCTTGCGCACTTCGCAGCCCCCCAGGGATGCCGCGAGGCCCCAACCAAGTCTGCGTACCACTCCACTCCGCTGGACCTCCCAAGAACCCACGAAAATGACGACAATTGCGCACTTCGCAGCCACGCATGGAACCGCCAAGTCCCAACTGGGTCCGCGTACCCCTCCACTCCGCTGGACCTCCCAACGGCCCGCGGAAATGGCGATAATCGCGCACTTCGCAGCCACGCAGGGCACCGCGAGGTCTCGACGTGGTGTGTGTGTGTGTGTGACTACCGACTCCGCTGAACCTCCCAGGAGCCCACGAACGTGGCGACAGGGAGATCCCCGCACGAAAATGGCCAGGCGGCGCAAGCGGGTTGAATGACAGAAAGGAGGAAGAAGAGAAGGGAAATGAGACATGAAGCGGGAAGTATGATGTAGGAGACGGGGGGGAGAGGAGGAGAAGTGAAGACCACAGTGCTCTATTTAAAAAGGTTGGGACAACATCGCGCACCCCCCACAACAAAAAAACACTTCCCTCCTCCCCTCCAGCGCTGGCGGACCAGTCTTCCAGAGCCGTCGCAGCAATGTCGTTTCCGAACCCTATCCGGATCGCAAATCCTTGCTACATCGAAGCTTCGAACGGCGCTCCCGCCGCCAACTCAATGGGACAACGCCTATCCAATCCAATCCTGCTCGTCCTCCCTCCTCCCTCTTCCTCCCTCCCTCCTCCCTCCTCTTCCTCCCAGCTGCTGCGCGTCTGGCTTGTCGTCCGAATGGCGGGCGCTGCAGCGTGCAGTCTTCGAGGGCGCGCGCGGGGGTCGCCCGCGGGGCGGCCTGCGACCGCTCGGCGGCTGTAATCTGGAACTGCGTCATCAGTGACCTCTAGAAAGAGAGAACGAGAGAGAGAGAGAAAAAAAAAAACAAGAGAGAGAGAGGGACAATAGAGAGAGAGAGAAAGAGAAAACAAGAAAGAGAGAGAGGGACAAGAGAGAGAGAGAGAGAGGGAAACAAGAAAGAGAAAGAGATAGTGTGTGAGAGAGAAGGTGTGTATGTAGGTAGAGGGAAGTTAGGGAGAGGGTACCGATCCCTTTTCCCATGCGCCGCGGGCGAGCGGCGGTAGTCCTCTTTGGTAGGGCCGTCCGATACCTGATTCGAGACAGCAGCAGGATATATTGATGGAGAGGTGATATGAGCGGACTACACACACACGCTCACGCACTCACACACACACACTCTCACACACACACACGCACGCACACACGCACGCACAGACACACACACAGACACAGACACAGACACAGACACACACACACACACACATACACGCGCACGCGCACGCGCACGCGCACGCGCACGCGAACGCGCACGCGCACGCGCACGCACACGCGCACGCACACGCACACGCACACGCACACGCACACGCACACGCACACGCACACGCACACGCACACGCGCACGCGCACGCGCACGCGC